GTATACTTTATAAGATAATATATCATTTTAAATGATATTGTTGATTGGATTGAAACATTAAAAAGAAATAATTACTAACAAATTTATCAGTAATTCATGTAAGTCAATGGAAGTATTGAGTAAGTATTGCTCTTTTTCGAAAATGAATTACTCACTTTTACAGACATCTTGTTCTAATAAATACTGTTACCATTAGAGAACAATGTAAGCTATAATTATCTTATTGGTAAAAAGAAATATCTATGTATAATGCATAGGATTTGTGAAATCAATGAACATATACCGGTTATGATAAGTGAATGAATATTAGGAATTATTTTATGACAAATTGTTGTATATAGCGAGTAGACGGTTGAATGTCTGTTTGCTATTTTCTTACTTTGGACTGGAATATTGGGCTATAGAAGAAGGGGGAACACTCTGTGGTAATAGGTTTTAAGAATTATCTCAGTCATTTTTCAAGGTAAATTGCTGTCAATCAGAGTGTGCAACTAGTCTCAATACCAAGGTTTACTTGAATTAGTGAAATGTATCGATGGATTCGTACTCACTGATGAATTAAATAAACATATACTAAAATTTAAGATTATAACAACAGTACTACTGATTACTGTTGAACAAAACAATTAAAAGTCTAGGATATTTATTTTTATAAAAATCATAAATAGATATCATATCATTTGGTTTTTGGCGTTAGCTTTCATCAAGAATCGAGATTCTCTGTAGGATGGCTGAATATATTTACTCGAAAGAGGTTTGATTCTATTTGTGGTGTTCAGAAGGTATGTTAAATATAGAAAAATATAGCTATCTATAGTTTCATTCCTATGAAATAAACGATTGTACAAACAATATTCTCAGTAAAAAATTGTTCAAGATTTGCTTGACTTTGCTTTAACAATCCTATTTCTAGGTTGATGATTCCCTACAAAGAAAAAAACTCAGTCAGGGTTTCTATCGACAGTTTTCAACCATTCAGCTTAATGATATTTATTGTTAGTTAATCCTATAAAACATGCATCATTTTTATTCCCTACTTCTTTGTTCTGTTAAGGTATTTTCAAATATTCACTTCTTTGTATATCATACTTTCCAAAGGGGGTTTGTACTGTAGAATTGGAAATGAACATTTAAAATGTGTTAATTGAACGGGCTATAGTTGATGAGTATTGCTAATATGGAAATGAAATCAATTTTCACTGAGCTTTATAAAATATGTTTAGTTGGGTAGGTCAAGTAGATTACTTTCTGTCACTGAATGACATCAGCTAGAAAATTAGAAAGTTCCTAGGTGCTATAAACCGTTGTTTCAGCCTAAATTAAAACTCCTCGAGGTGAATTATGTTGGATATGAGGGCTGTTCAGCTCAGCTGCGTAAAAATAGTGAGCTCAATACATGACCTGAAGGCTGAAGTGTCCCATTCAGGAACTTAATAGCCTCCCAGTCCTTCCTGCTTTTTAGTGGTGATGTAAACTAAGAAACATAAGGTCGGTTTGGCTGAATTACTTTTTTAGATTTCTAATAAAGACAGTATGAAAAAATATATGGTTGACCACTAACTATGTCGTTATTTAAAAATAAAGGTAAGTGTTTTAGATTGCTACAGGTAACGAACAGGGCTATCTAGATAAAGGTTTCGTGTTAGTTTTGACTCACCAACAAAGTGTATTTTCCTGACTACTCACATTCGAACCAGTGTCATCTGTTGTCACGGTCCTTGATCTAAACACTGAACTAGTTGATCATAAAACATACTATAAGTCAAACAACACTATCTGCAAAATGCTTTCAAATGTATTATATCTATTTCAATGGTTAAGATCATGAACCGATTGAAACTAGACCACCATAGAAAGCTCGAAAGCACTGGACGGCCTTTCCATCCTATTAAGGGACTCCTCAGCAGTGCGCATCCACAATCCCACCTTGCGAGATTCGAATCCCAGGACCTATGACTCAACCATTCAAACTACTATAATAATATCCACAGAAACCCTTCTGATATGTATTATATCAGTTCGAATTTCAACCGAATATCGAGTCACTTTATGTTAAGGTTTCATTTTGAACTAAATTGGAACCTATACTGATAATTACCATGTCCTCACTTGTGACTAGCTTCGTGAGGGAATTCTCGGGGTTCTAATGAGAAGCCATGGCCAGTGAAGCTAATCCGTGTCGAGTAGAGACAGGTATCTACCTCAGTACAATGAAAGATGATCGCGCAATTTCGTGGATTGATGTTGGACACTAACATCATTGGATGACAACCAGCTCAGTGGTCTACAGGTTAAGCGTTCGTGCACGAGACTGAAGGCTCTGTGTTCGAACCCCGCGATCGGAATCGTGGATGCGCATTGTTAAGAAGTCACACAATTAGGCGGAACGGCTGTCCAAATCTTCCAAGATTTCCATCATGGTCTAACATCAATCGGTTCATGATCTCAATCAAAAAGTAAAATGAAAGAATTCGATCAACTGTAAGCAATATGAAACCGAAGACAGTTTCTTTCCTTTATTTTTTTAAACGAAATCACTAATTCATTCACTTGATATTGTTTTACTTGAATCTTCCCATTGATGTTTTAGGACTGAAATTGATCAGTCTCTTATTGGCATATGTGCATACTGTGCGTATACCTCAATATTGCCTTAATTTATAAGCATTATAAGCAAAGATGGATAGTGGCTAGCAGTGGAATCCAGGACGCGCGTTTCATCCTATTTGGGACTCGTCAGCTGGATGTATCTGCACCTCAGAGTTGATGTTCACTCTTGGACTCGAACTCAGTACCGTTCGCTTCAAACGCCATCGCGTTATCCACTTAGCTACTGAGTCCTGATAGCCACTTGCTTGTGCAATGGGTTGAAGTTTAATTCACTTGATATTGTTTTACTTGAATCTTCACTAATTCATGTTTACATTTAGACACATTCAATTTATAGTTACGATTGTAGAAGATCGTTTGTTCATTTGTTTATTATTCATTTAAAGGTCAAGGTTATCTTACCGAAAATAAACACATATCTCGAAGCCTTTCATCCTACATACTTAAATACAAATAAAATAGCACAAAAACGAATACGAATACATTGTGCATAGTATTAAACATGAACAATGTTATTCAGAAAGAAGAAAAAAAAACGATATGCTGTCATGTATGCACACAAGTAGTGTGGGTTTATATTAATCAGATTTATCTGTACCATTTATTGTTATTCCCGTTCTATAAATTATTTGACTGTTCATGAAGAGAAAACACAAAATACAACCTTTTTATTCATGCTGCTTAGAATGAATTAAAGTAACCGAAATTAAGGTCAGGTGAGATATGTATGTATATTGAACAGAACAGGTACACATGAATAATAAAGGGAATGGATATTTTGTGTAAATAAATATCAATATGTATGTTATTATCTTCATTCATCAAATTGTATTTTAGTGAACATCAAAAAAGATATTGGTATACTTCAATTATTTATAATATAAATTGGTACATGTACTTGTGTATAATATTAAATATAAATGAAGTAACAAGTTATAAGTGACTTAACATGTATACACAAAGAATACTAATAATAAAAAGACAACTGTTAGTATATAAATATACACTAGAGGGGGGTGGTGGTGGAGGTATTTTTTGTATCTATGACTGTATTCATTTTATGTATGAATTGATAAATAGAAAGTAAATAGAAATAGATACCATTATATTAAAATGAATAAAGTACATAGAAAAAAAGGGAAAAAAATGGAACCAAAGAGTATATGAGAAGGAAAGAAAAGAAAAGAAAAAAAAAGGAAAATAGATATATGACTACAACAGAATAGAAAGTGAATGAGACTTTAATATATATTTCTTTCATACAAGAATAGTATGTTAAATATTTAAGGATGATGAGATTAAACCTTAATCAAATGATGAAGTGATTAACTGCTAATATGAATCATATTGGAAGACTCAAATATCCCTAGTTTATATTTACCATACTATGGTAATTTATACCTAAAGATAGAAAATTGGTTGGATTGTCAAAAATTCATCCAACTTGTCTTATTGTAAATAATGAGTATTGTATTATTATTTCATGCAATTTACTTTATGATTTCAGATCGATATTAAAATGATGACTGATTTGGTTTTTATTGAGATTATAAACCAATCAGTGTTAGATCACCAGCAGTGAGCATCCATAATCCCGCACGCCGAACTCGAACTAAGGACCCATACTAGGATGAAACGATTGTTCAGCACTTTCAAATTTTCAATGGTGGTCTACCATTGATCGGTTTATGATCTTAATCAAAACTCAACAATATCCATAACATTATGCTGATGATTTGTTTTTATCATCCTAACTTCCTCGATTGGTATGTTGATATAAATTGTAATGCCGTGAAATTAGTGAATAACATTCAGATTCAACCTTAAACGTTTCATTCAACGTGGCCTACATATAATTAAAATGAAAAGGGTAAATGTTGATTTTAATTATTTAGTCACAATACTTGTGGAACTACTATAAACCGGAGGAAACATTTAAAAACTAGATTTTCCTTAGTTTGAAGCTCATTAGTAGTCAGTGCTCATTACGTCGTAAACTATAGAGTTTAAGAGATTTAATACTAAGACAGATACCAATGGTTTATTATGGTGACTATGTATAGTCAGTTGGCTGAAGTATGAAATGTAGATCATAGAACACCGATTGATTACTGACCGAGGAACATGAAATTCAAGGGCTTGTTTATCGTTCAGTTTGTTCGTACATGTAAATGATATGTTTCAAACTAGAACAAAGCGACTGTTCTATGATTCTCTCATTTCAATTATTTGGTGTGCTGTATCCATCCTTGATTAAGGCAAACATTAAAATGAACAATTCTCATACTTTGTCTACTGTAACAAAAATTGGATGACAATTAAATTTTATTACAGTGATGAATAAAATCGTCTCAAACAAAAATGTCATGTTTTAAGAAAAGATATCTTACTTTTAACACCATTGTTATGTGTTTGAATTCAGACGGTTCAATATTCAATCTTGTCACAACTGGACTTGCACTAATCGAATGATCTGGGGAATTTCGTCGACTTAAACTAACTAAACTCCAAAATATTCTTGGTGCAACACGTCCAGGTGAATTAGACTGAGGTTTGTTAACACGAAATTGTAATTTGTACACTTCAGTTGCTGAACTAAAATGTAAGAGAAATTATAACAGAGATTATTAAAAATCTACAGTAGTATATAGAGAATTGGTGAAAAAAATGCAAAATATGCTAGAAATGTATTAATTCCTAATATGCAATATAATCATAGTGAAATGAACAACTGATAAGGCTATAATTTCTGAACGACCTTTGAGCGACGCTAGACTGACCTTGAGTGTCCGCTTAATAAACAGGACCAAATGAGGGTTATGAACCTATGTAAGGAATTTTAATTATAATTTACAGTTGATGATTAAGCTTAAAAAATAAATTTCGGGTTTTCACCACGAAATGACATCAGCTATAATGCCAAAACTCTATTTAGTCAAATGAATGAGTGAATTTCGCGCTAAAATCCGAGACCTATCATCTTATACCTGATTGGTTCATTCATAAATTATAGTCTCGCCAAACAACTTATTCGTTGAATAAGTTGAAGGCTATTCGAATTAAATAGCTCATTTGTACCTGACCTACCAACAATTTCTATTGAGCCTTCGATTGAGATCATGAATCGATTGATGTTAGACCACCTTTGGAAACCTGGAAGCACTGGACGGCTGTTTCGTCCCATTGTGGGACTCCTCACCAACGCGCATCCACTATCCCGCTCGCGGGATTCGAGACGTTTACAGATACGTTGAGTTAGTTAATATTAAATCCTGTAATTATACTACTTTGATTATAATTGAATAAAGTCATAATTATGTTAATGGGTATGAATTTTCGTAAGTATCTACTTGTTCCATAGCATAATTACTCTATTTCATGTCATAAATGAATGAAAAAAGTTTTATTCAGTTTTTCCTAATTTTCTCATATGTATTAAATGAATTTGAACTAAAATACTTATCTATAAAATACTACTTTTGATTAGATTCTTCCTCATATTATTATCTTTTTATAACCATTCTTGACTAAATTCTATCGATCATCATCATCATCATCATCATCATCATCATCATCATCATCATCATCATCATCATCATCATCATCATCAACAGTGAGTCAAAATGTAACAGGTCAAACTAGAAACTTTCACCTTGAAATTTGAAGGTAAAGTCTGATGAAAGTGTAGAATCTTTAGTAGATATTGTTGAAGACTTTCGGATGAATATAAAATAACTAGTTAAGACAACTAGTTTTCCAGTTATTTTACAGAGGACATCAATTTGTGAGTAAAATTATTATCTGGTTTAATTAATCTCATCAAACTACCGAAATAAACAGAAAATAATTGAAATTAGATGTAAGAAGATCAAACAAATGATTCTTTCTTTCAAAGCACTGATTGTTCCTTAATGATTTGATGTAATAATGTAAGAAAACTAGTTACATCAAATATTACACTGGCTTTTATCATAAAAGTGCTTATTGTAGAAATATAAATCTACCTGTATTTTGAAGATGGATTAGATGTAACTAAATCTTCTCTGAAACGAGCAACAATTTCAGTTACATTACGTTTTGAACTGATTACACTTCTATGGAACACATCCCACATATTATGTGATCTTTTGTCATTTCTTTCAGAAGATCTACTAGTTGATCCTGTTTGAGTATCAAAGAATTCTTCAACTTCTACGGAAGAACTTGTATCACCATTAGTTGTTGATGATAAAGATACTGGCGAGGATAATGATGGTGACGATGAAGGAGATATTATTGAATTTACACCAGCTGGCCAGATTACACGAACAAATTCAACATAAGTATTGGATGGTATTTCACATCTACATTAAAGTCGATTCCAAAAAATCAATAATGTTATTGTTAAATAAAACAAATTAAATAAGGTGTATATTTGAAAAATTGAAAATTCCTATTATTATTTATATCAAACAGAATATAATTGAAGATTAGTGATGAGGATGGGTGGATAGTTGTATGTTTCAATTTAATATATGATTCCTGACCCCATCAAAAATTGAGCTCATAATTTTCTTGGCTCTTAGTAGGCGCACTAACTATGAATCACTGAACTATAATCTAATAGTCTACATTTTGTACTTCAGTTAATTAACAACATACTTGGACTAACATCCAAGGATGTTGGTGATTACTGAATCACTCCAAACATTAATGAAATATAAATGTGAGGACCTTTTACTAAAATCTCCAGAATTTTGTTTTAATATTAATCATTTATAACTAAACAATTATATTAATTGATTAGACGGTTTTATAAGATTAATTTAATTTAAAGGTGAGGTTACTTAATAGTGGACACACATTGAGGGAAGCTCCCTACTGTGTCACAAGGCAAGTCATCACTTCGAATCCTCAAGGTCGAAGGAAAAGAAGAAGACCAATGAACACATTACGCTGAGAAATGGAGAAAGACATGAAAAGAATGAACAACAGTTGGATAGAACTAGAAATGAAGGCCGAGGACAGAGTGAGTTCGAGAATGCTAGTTGGTGGCCTATGCTGCATTGGGAGTAACAGGCGTAAGTAAGCGATTACTTCATAGAATGAATTTCCTTTGCATACAATCTAATGTAATTAATTTAGAAGTATAAGATAAAGTGAAAAAAGAGACAAAAATATGCGTCGAAGTGAAAATAAGAGGATCTATGGAAAACTGAATACATTGGATTGCAAAATGTTTTCATGTACACAGATGTGGCTCTAAGTTAACTACAGTAATGCTTTAGCAGGGTGAAGAATATATATGAGCTTGTGATGGATTAGATTTAATCATATAAATAATACTGAATGATAAATTCAATACTGTGGGGTTCGAAGTCGAATACATAGAGCAAAATATAAGTTTCTGTTTTGTACTTTACTGATTAACTACGGAAAATGGTCTCCAAAGTGTTGATAAACAAGACTAGTCTCCATTGCCATTCAGTTGCTAATTGTATATATCGTCTAATCGAACCAATAAAAATTTAAGTATATAATTATACTTCAACAAGATTCTTTGAATTTACTAACTACGTAGTGTAATGATGATATTTTTGACTAGAATATTTGGTGATAGGGGTTTGAATCTTACGTAGAATATCTGTTTTCTGAAGACCACATATATTTCATCGCTAAAAAGTCCCAAATGGAGTAAACCTTAGGATTAATGGCTCTATCCCTATCCCTCCCCCTCAATAATCTAGCATGTAGTTATGGGAGTTTTACGGTTTTCTTATATATAATCTATTTACTTCTTAAAATATCACTTACCGAAACGGTAAGCTTTATTTGTGATTACATTGATATGGATAGATCTAATATGGATTTATCAACATTCTTATCGAATGACCGAATTATCAGTTGTACTTGAAATGTTTAGTTGATTTTTAACAGTATGATTTATAAACAACGAGCTGATGTTATTTTAGTGTTATCTTTAGATCTCTTACTAACTAAATGTTAATTCACTGAAGATATCAACTAAGTACCATTCATTCATTCATTCATTCATTCATTCACTCAGTTCACTTACGTAAAAGTAGAAATTACTGGACTATTAGAATACCTACCTATAAATTTCATTTTATATAATCTTAACTTACTAGACAACACAAAATGTATGGTTTATTCGAACAATTTAAGGATGTTAAACACTTATCAGGAACATAATATAAAGTAAAAGATGAAGTTGCTTAAAGCTAAATTGTATAGATGATAATAGTAAAGATATATGTTTCATTCGAGATTATTAAATTATTGGAATGAAAAATACTATATAAACATCTTTATTTACATAACATTTAACTAAACTTTCTAATGTGGTGGACAATACCATGAATGAGGACAATCGAATGTATTAGAACACGAAATTACAGAGCGTCTCACTAAAATTTGAAAAGCATATAGTGTAAATAGTTAATTTGTAAAGCATTAACCCATCGTCTCAAACTTCACTGTTCCGTTTGCAAATATAAGTCCATTGTCTCAGATTTCATTGTTCATACATTTTCATACCAATTGCGTTCCGATTCCGTTCTTTCTTTATCGATCTTCTGCTGAAACACATTCTATGCCTGACCACTGTTATATACTACTTATATGGATATAAGTAACCCATACCATACTAACTTTTTTTATAGAAAGTAACTAATTATGAAACATGTTTACTTGATATCTAAACCTAATTACACATCCTAAATGATATTTACTAATAAGAATCTGTATTAATAAACAGTTAGTGGTATACTTAATTGTTGAGTATTTCAATTTCATTATCAATTGTCTCAAGATACGAAAATTAAAAAGCCCTCAAATGCCCTGGTACGGCTGAGAGTGGGGAAAGTCAGTTCTACCTTTCGAAATGCTTTCATATGGCCACGTGCATACAACCACTGGCAGGTAACACCTACTCACTGCCTTCTCGCACCAGTGGTGTTGATTACGATTGACTCATGAATACATTATTGTAAATAATGATTCTTTTATAAACATTATTATTCATTTTCTTTTCAAAATATTAACCATCACACAAATGTTAAATTGGATGTTTTAATGAAATTATATTTTCGAATTGAGAATTAAAAGCAAATGACTACTGTAATGATCAAAATAACGGATAACATTGATTTACTAGGAATGTTTTGTATTGAAAAAAATGTTTATTTTGATTTGATTCGGTAATACATGAAGAACCTGAGTACATTGCGAAACATATAAGGAGAAGTGTATGATTAGTGTATGAGGATAATTCTGTGTATCCCTGAAAATTAGATCGCCCGTAAATGCTCTGCTACTATCGAGGTTGAGGATAATCTACACTCCCTCTGCACTCGAAATGCTCTCACATAGACAGGCGTATACAGTCACTGTTAAGGGACTCCTACTCACTGCCTTCTCTCAACAGGGGTGTTGTTTACGAACTTGAGAGTACGGAAAGCGAATATCCGGAGCATTAACCGGGTTGATGGATATGGAGGATCCACCTAGGGAAGTTGGAAAACCCTCATTCCGAACCATGAGTGCACATGGGTTCCAGGATCCTGAGTAAACAAACGGTGTATGAACCAATTATTGGTCACCGGTTATCATGGGACTGCATCTCCTGACGTTGTTCCGTTGCCTTGTGTATCAGGCCTTTAGGTTGAAGGTTCCGGGTGTGACACTCTAAGAAAACCACCTGCCTTCGATTTGGGCACCCGGATCCTATCCCAGCCCTCACATGAACTGAGTGATTTGTGTGGCGCATATCTATTTTGTGCCTCCTTGTACCAATTTTTATGTATTTAAATAGGTAAATAAGTAATCAGAAAAGAAGTTACTGATGAAGAAAACACATCATTAATATACTACTAATAGCCAACTGACTAGTGTTTTATAGAACGCTACAAACAGGCGAAAATAAAAATGTACTCAATGAATTAATTCAACTTTTTGTCCTATTTCTATAATTCTATTCACGTAAATATATTTTGTTAAAATACAATCTAAATTATACATGTCAGATATAATAATCATTGGTTGATGTTTATAATTCTTTTATGAGATAATTAAAGACAATGATGCAAGAATACATGTTTAACATAATTCATCAAGAAATACTTATAGTTTTGAAGGAATTGAACTCTGCCGGTCACAAACCCGGATAAAGGTGGGGGGTTGGGCATAGGGTTAGCGACCCCATCCCGTAGAAAACTAACTCGCCAAAAAAAGAACGCTAACCAGAAAAAAAATTATTAAAACCACTTTGAAGGAATTGATTTTTACTAGAGATTGGAATTCTATATATTACTTACTATTAGAGTAATTAGATGTACTATTGAGAATTTTGAACATTGTATGTATCTCATATTCTTATTAAACTATCATAGTTGTCCAGTTGTACCAGTTAGTATGAGGTCATTAGAAAATAATAATAATAATAATAATAATAATAATAATAATAATAATAATAATAATAATAATAATGATTTTAAGACTATATACTACTATTTGATAGTAAGAAAACTTTCAGTGGGCAAAATCAATACAAAAAAACTCAAGGCCAAACTAATAAATTATACAAGTATCTAGGTCATTTTCATAATGATTTTGTTCCAATAAATTCATGGTACAACAAAAAAAAGTTTCTTTTAAATAAAAATACTGAACTCCCAGGAGAATACATTGATAAATCCGAATAAGAGAATATTCTATCCATGATGATAGTTAGTAATTATTATCAGAAGAGGTTTTGTGGAGATTTTAGTAGTTGAATTCATGAGTCAATTGAAGATAGACTACCATGGAAAAAGTGGAAGAACTAGACGGCCATTTTGTCGTAGTATGGGACTCTTCGGCAGTGCTCATCCACGACCCCGTCTCGCGAGATTTGAACAAAGGACCTATCAGTCTCGAGATTCAAGAGGTATTTCCTAGAGTTTTGTTGAGAAGTAGTGACCAGTGGGGTTCAACTGGGTCTGTTGTGGACGGTGGTTCAATTTCGTGGATTGGTTGAAGTTAGACATTAACATCGTTGGATGCTGACCACCTCAGCGGTCTAATGGTTAAGCGTTTGCACGCGAGACCGATCGGTCCTGAGTTCGAATCTCGCTGGATGGGATCATAGATATGCACTGCTGAGCAATCCCACAATAAAACGAAACGGCCGTCCAGTGCTTCCAAGTTTTCCATGGTGGTCTAGCTTCAATTGACTCATGAATTAAACTATAGCAGTTAATAATTAATTTATTATAGTAATAAAGATATTAATTTCAATGAGGTAAATATCAATTATGTATATGTAGATTAACATATGTATATCACTGAAGTGAACGTTTAATTG